AGAAAATCCGTATGGAGAGAAACGGCTTCCGAAGGCGGCTGGGACCGGGGCCGAGGCACGGGCAGGCACTGCCCCCGGAGCAGGGGGGGGCCTGGAGGAGGTGGGGGGGGGGGGCTGCAGCCTGGTGACGACAGGTCCGGATTGGCGTTTGGCGATTCCAGCATCTCCTTTCCCACGCGAGTCGAATTGCTTTGCGATTGATTCGGCGAAAAATTTCAATGTTCGAAATCACACGCAAGTACCATTATAAAAAAGGGAGCCGGCGAGTGTTTGTACAGCCCAGGTTTTGGTTTAACTGTAAGCTTTAAATTAATTGTAGGAATGGCAGCTGTGCGCTGATTTTTTTACAAAGACGTCTCAAAGCCCTGACAAAACAGAAGGATTTTTAAGCGCATTTTGCCAGCGTAGGTATTGCTGTCAACATAACCCGTTTCCATCATTTGATACAATTACTAGAAATCACTTGAGAGCAACGATCACTGGGGGAAAAAAAAATAATCACCAAAAATGAACAACTGAGAAAATTAGAAAACCAGAAAAATACACATCTTTAAAAGAAAAAAACAATAACAACAAAAAAAAAAAACCAAACGAGGCAGAAGCTGTGAAAGGACCACGGTGGCATTTACCTTCAGCCCCAACTGCCAGCAGTTCCCATTCCAAACAGCAGCAGCCGTGGTGTTCCAGGTTCCCGTCACGGTCCTGGCCGCGTCGCCATCCCCTTCCTCTGCCTCCTCCTTGAGAGGGTTTGTCCTTCTCCTGGCCTCCACCCCCGCTGCAGAAGCAAGGCCTCCCCAGTGGGCTGAGGGAGCGCGCCCCGCGCCGCTGCCTGGTCCCCACAACCCAGGTCCTGTCTCCGAGCCTGGATGGAGCCAGGGAGAGGATAGACAAGGGCACCGCTCTGCCACCCGACCCCAGCCCAAGCCCAAGGTGCCTACGTGTGGTCACCATGGCCATAGTACCAATGCCGCCCCCAACACTCTCCAACCATTACTATCAAAATCTTTTTCAGAGTAGTAAGCTCATAACCTACATATTGATCCATTTAACCCCTATCAGAAATAAGCTGTGGTGCTACCTAGAAGCCAACGGGTTCATTCAATCCAGAAAAGTCACCAAAAGCATCTCAGGACTTGCTATGCCACGTGACTCAAGCGCTTGTGATACCAAGAAAGCTCCACCCAAAGGGATCGCATGAAAGCCCCAACACCACGTACACAATCCTAAAATATGACACACAGATTCCTAAAATACGATGGGTACCAGTATCAAGGAAAAGAAGATCAGAGGTGAACCCAAAGCAACATGAAAACAAAGCGTATAGAGTCAATAAGGCACCTCCAGGGCACCTTAAAAACTCACACTTAAGGCTACATTCTTGACCTGAAATGACCTGTCAATCCATTTGAGGGAGTTATGGCTAAAGCCCCCACACTGCACAGCTACACTGAGCATCTTCTGCCTTCGCAGTTTGTTATATATCATGGGTGTCAAGAATAGAAACACAATAAATAGCAGAAGATTATCAATTTATCCATGTCAATCCTTCTCATGAGTTTCCGTTCATGTTGCTCCATATATGATCCTCCCATTTCCTTCTGGTGACAACCACCACATCAATTTTAGTAACCACAGGAAAAGCTGCCATAGTCATTGGGGAAATTACTTCAAAGTAGTAATGGGAAATGGGTTTGATTTGTACCTCTAATTGCTTTACAAAATTGTACCTATAATGCCATTGCCACTTGATGAAAAGCAAGGCTTTGACCCGGCAAACAGCTGGGGTGATGTCCTTACCTCACTGACATCAGTGGTGAACCTCACACCGAACTTAAATCAAGAGCTCTCCTCTCCTCTTCTAACCCACTTTTCGTTTACACGTCACGAGCGCTCAGGCAAAGTTCCAGCAAAGTCAACAGGACATTCTTGGCATGTGAGGATTAGTTTAAAGGAATTAATTAGCAAGTCTGCTGGCACTTGAAATTTGGTTTGTGAAGAGGTTCCTGCCAGGCACAGCCTAACGATACCAGCTGGTTCTCTTGGTATGCGCAGCGTTCATACCGGCGGAGCAATGCTTCTACCAATACAGGTTGTTTTTCTTGTGTGGGGAATAATTAAACGACACTGATAAAACCATATGCATTCCATTACTGATGAAGAAATCCTAGCATAAACATAGTCACTGTCTGTCACGAAGAACAAGAGGAAAGACAGAAGATTGTCAGAACGGCAATTTAACTCCCACCAAATACTAACAGTCTATATTTAAATACGAGTCTTTGTGATTAACTTCACTCATAAGACAGAAGCAGTATTTATAAATTATTTGTAAATTATTTATAAATTATTTATATTTATTGATAGAAAACACCTATTTAACAAAGTTGGATAGCAAATGCGACTGTTTTACTGAGATTTGATGTCAAGGCACACGTGGTTATTCACTGTATAGAGGACATGGTCAGACAAGCTGTCAGGGGGACCCTCCCATTGAGTCACAAGCTTCAGAGAGGACCCCCTTGCTTGCAAAACTTCTTCTCAGAGAGGAGTCCAGGTGCAGCTGGATCCAGCCCTAGTCCCAGACTCAGTCAACTGTTTATGTTGAAAGGATTGTACCTGCACAATCAATCCTTTATATCACATAGCTAAGATTTCAAAGTTTAGCGTGCCATTAGTCACTCACCAAGGATCTGTCGTGGCAAGAAACCTCTCAGCCTCAAGGAGTAACCTTGAGTTGTCTCTGCTTAAGGTGAGATCTGTTGTACAGCCCGCTGCTGGGGAGGAGAGCTCAATGGGCCCTGGGCTGTTCACTATTTATAGAGTAAGATGATTGACCTATAGTCATTTTTGCATAGCAGCAAGACGTCTAGGTCCCTATTCCAGACAGCATTTGTCTATGTTGCCATCCATCCCCCAAAGTCCTGGTACAACCCATCACAACCCCCACTGACAGTTATTGCTAGAGCAGGATCTGGGGAGGGGAAAAGGCGGAGAGCACACCCCCACAGTCCAAGAACTCATTATAGGATGATAAATGTATAATGAATTTAAAATTAAATTATTTGCTGCACAAACTTGGAGGATGGGATGAAGTACAAGATACCAAAAGTTAAAAACATATTTTGGCTGGCACTTGAACTCTGCTGACTTTCATTTGTTCTAGGAGTAGAACACAAGATATTTGTGCAAGTATATTACACACTCAGATTATTAATTAAGGAAATACTAAAGAAAAATATGGAAATATACTTAATTCCTTACTAGTGCACATTTTTGTGTCACTCCATGAAGACATACAAAATACTTGACCTTGAACTAAAAATCCAGAGTGCCCAATATACAATCAATCTGAAGCAAAGAATCCGCCAAGAAAGCCAAAATTAAAATTTTCATATAACAGATTTAAAATCCAATTAATACAGATTTGATCAAGAAATCTTCTGATGCAGTGAGCTCAATCTTTAAAAGATCTTTAAAATCTTTAAAAAATGTCCACTTAATAATAAAAACCCCATTCTATGTATGTTCTTCTCAACAAAGGAGCATTTGTGCAATCAGATCACACACAGAATAAGAATTCCACAGTACAAACGCAGTTTTAATAAACAGTACTTATTGCAAAGTTTTAAGTATGTTTCAGCTGCATGCTCACAATATAAGATTTTTTAAGTAACAAAATTAGAAGAATGGAAGCATTATACAGAAGTGCATAGCAAAATCTAGTCTTTATCATTTGCAGTAACACAACAAACAATAGTATAAAGTATCTGGGCTTGTCTATTATCCTTTCCAGGAGAAACAGGTAAGATGGTTTTTCCAATCACTTCAGGATTTCAGTGGGTCTACCTACACAAATAAGACAACAGGATTTGACTGTATTAAAGAATTGACAATTATTATTTGCATCATAGGATGTATAACCTCTACTTAACACAATTTTTCAAGAGTTCTGAGCATCTCTGTGTCCAGCATACTTTCATGCAATTAGCAAGTACTAAACAGGTCTGAAAATTAAAAAAAAAAAAAAAAAAAAAAGTGCTTGTTGGCTCATCCTTTTCTGAAGAACTCAACATTAAGATTACCACTGACTTTGGCAGGAGCAGTATTCTGAGCAAAGACTTCAATAAAGCTAAGGGTAACAGTTCATATTTTGAAGTACAACCTAGGTATTAATTTTGAATGACACATAAGTATAAATTTGACCTATATTATTTAAATTAATTGATCATTTTATCTCTCTCAATGTAATGACTCACCTGAAAGGTTCCATTTCTTGGTGACACTAGTGAAAAGCCAGAATAAGAGCTCAGAGGCTATTCTTTTGTTTAAACTAATTGGAGGTAAAAAGATTAAGAATCAAGTTCAATTAAGAGGAGCAGCTTCCTCATTTCAAGTTTTTCACCTATATTTTAACTGAAAGTAGCCTGGCTGGTAGCCTTTTCCCTTTTAACAGTAAAAGCCTGCATATCCAAGAATGCATTTCAGAAACATTGAGCGGT